CGAGATTGAAGTAATCATTCACTTTTCCATTCTTTTTGGACTCGTGTTCCATCGGGGAGTCGTCGCCGAATCCTTCGGATCCAGCAGTCGTCGTCCGTCGCAAGGAGAGATCTCCAAAGCCGCCCTTTCCCTGCGCCTTCATCGCTTCCTTCTTGCGTTTCCGCTTCAAAACGTTGAGTTGCCTCGAGCTCAGCTGAGACTCTTCCGCCGGTTGACCCTGTGACTGCGCGCCCTCGGATTTGATCATGCCGCCGCCATTAGGCGCATCAAGGGGAGTCTTGGGCACTGCATCTCCCACGATGATTTCTTCATCTTCAAATCTTCTCCCGAGTAAGCCCAACCGACCCAGAAGTGTCTTTTTCTGGTATGCTAGACGGGCTTGAGGATCGAGGGAGGCGAGATTGTACTCAATGCCACCACCCCGTAGAAGCGGCCGTCCAAATTTGAGAATGGTGTCGACATCGAGCGTCTCAAATCTGAAGACGTCGTCATCGGAAAGAATGGAGGCCACCCTACCATCCTCTTCCTTCTTGATCGTACCGTTTTCATATGCAGTCTCTTCCTTCTTGGGCTCAGTCGGCGCATCTCCCGCGTTAGGATCATAGAGCGGAGCATTTTCTAGGATTTTACCAATGGCTCTGGCTGCCGTCTGTCTCGTCTCCCAGTCTTTAAAGCGGAGATACGGGATGACCCGCGAGAGGAGGTTGAATAGCTCTTCGGGGTGTTGTTTTTGCCAGTCAGCAAGCTGGTTGACTGCTGTATCCCGAATGAGCCTCGTGCTCCCCGTCTCGAGGATGCTGTGAAAATTTGTTAGCTGCAAGGGGATGCGAAACTTGCGATACGTGGAATCAAAGTTTTCCAGAGACTGAGGAGCAAGAGGAGCGGGAGTACATACGTAACTAATCGTTCAAGTCTGCCATACAGTTAGCTACTGGTCATCCTGTCAGAAGAGGTGAGTGAAGGAGGGCATACCTAGAAGCCATGGCGTCGTCGTGTAATATTAAAGGAGTATGTAAAGGGTAGTTTGGGGCTCATGGCATAATCAGCTGAGGCTCTGTTGAGTCGGTTAGCGCATTTTCAATACGATGTTCCGATTCTGGCGTTGGATGAGTGAGCAGGCAAGAGTGAGACTCTGGCAGAGTGTGCAAGGTCCGAGGTAAAATGATGCTGATGCTGCGGAGGGTTGAGATGAGAGCACATCTGGCTGCCTGTTCAGGCGGTCTTCTCAGAGAGTTTCGAAGCGCATCAAACGCATGTGACCGATATGCTGGTGCCAGAGATTGTGTGCATCAATGCTAGGAGAGGGAAGTGTGAAGGTAAGAGAAGCAGCGTTCATCAACTGCAGAGCCGTGACAGGGCAACAGATTTCATAGAGGTGCTGGTGAGGCAACGTGCATTGCGATACAAGCCGCAGATGTGTCCGTTTATGATGTGAAAGAGAGGTGCAGCCGGGCTGGGAGAGGTGAAGGAGAATGAAATGAATTGCATCGAGGGAGAATGGCAGACGGAGTGCAATGGAAGGCATGCTGATCGTGTATGTTGACGATGATGCATGCACGAAGACGATAAGATAAGGCGAGTGCTTGTACCGGGTACATCGGGATGTGCTAGGGCGACAGGGATTGGGGGGGAAGTGAGATGGAAATGGCGTAATCAGACCAACAAGGTACCTGACCTCATCAACCCAGCAGAGAAAACAAACAGAAAACAAATCAAAAGTAAGGTACTACTTGCCTGTGAGGGACAGCGCCGAGGTGCTCAGTGAGGGAGAGTCCAGGCGATGCAGTGAGATGCACCGAAAGGACAGCAGTGCAGCCAGATGACCGACGTGGCTGACAGCAAGTGAATCCAATCCAAAAGGATAGCGGCGTGATGCAACTGCGATGCGACCGTTGGCGATGTTACGGCCTCAGCTGGGATGTGCCGAAGCTGGCGTGGGTTGCCTGTCAGTTCAGGTACTGCAAAGAGCTCAGACGTGGTGGTTCGTGCGGCTTCCAATGAGCGCCTTGCGCTGCTCAACTGGATTGGGGAGGGATCCGCTGCAAAGAGCAGAGCTACGCCAATGACGGCGCGGGAAAGCACAGGCAGAGCGCGGACGGCGGTACCTGGAAACACGCAGCCGGGGGTGTGAGGCACAAGGTACCTTACCTGCTGGCACCTGGTCTTTTTCCCCCAAAGGCACTCCCGGTAAAAGTGCAGCTGCCGTGCAATCAATGAGTGACCCAAGGGCAGACAAGAGCACCAGGAAATGGACGGAGCAGTGACGAGTTGGGCGTGAGTGATCAGTCAGCGCGTGCAAGGGCAAAGGCAAAGCAAACGCAGCTGTGATAGCAGGTATCAGCGGCAGCAGAGCCCGCGCAGCGCTGACACGTAGCTCGAGGTAGCAATCAATGCAGCGCTGGCCGGTGGCGCCCGTCTGCCTGCGCTGCGGTTCGGTTTGTGCTCGGGCTCGGGCGAGGGCGCGGGTTTTGCTGGATGCGACTATGGTCGGGCAGGGCTGGACGGGGAGAATTGAGTGGAGGGCAGGCCGGGCTTTCTATATGTCTATGCCTGTATTTTTATACACGCTGCGCCGTCTCAGCGACCAACGGCGCCTCGCTTAATGTCCCTAATGCTTCGCTAGCGCGCCCCAAGCGGGGCCCTTCGTCCCCCATTTTCCAGAGCTGGAGCCCATCGATCACTGGCTGGATCCAGGCACGAGTCTCGTGTACTTGGGCTTGCTGCTGCATCCATCGCGATGGTATGGGTAGAGTGTACCTGTTCCAAGCCGTGAAAGCTGTCACCCATGAGCTTTTTCCTCTCAAACCATGTTGTCGTATGTAGCCACAGGAGCCTCAAGCAAAACCCAAGGTAATGACGCGCTGCGCTGCCCTTCATCTTGTCTCCAGCTCCTCCTGCAGCTTGCGCTGTGCAATTAGCCGCGGCTCGTGGGGGAGCAAACGAGGGCGTTGCTTAAGTTGTTGGCCAGATCAGGTCGACAACTTGAAGTAGAGTGACAAGCTGGCTGCATGGAGGTGCATCTCAAGATGCGGCAGTATGCCGGCTGAAGTGGTGCCGCCGCCCATTGGAGGCCAGAGAAGCCTCGAGGCCAGCCCAGCAGCTTTCGGGCAGCACGCCACGCTTCTTACGTCTTCGAAAACAAACCATCCTGACAGGGCGCGTCAGAATCTCGATGCAACCACTGTGCTGCAACGAAACGTGCTGAATGTAACGCCGCCAGCTGCTCTCGATGCATCAGCCGCCATGGAGTGACACATGGCTCGGACGACCAGGACGCAGATTTGTCGCCGAGACGTCGGGAAGTACGTGCGATGATTACAGACAAGTGTAGACGATACTGACGATGACTTACCAGTACATGATTGGTGACGTTCATGATGGCACCTTTCTGTGGAAGCTGGCATGGATGAGAGGGAGTTTGTGGCGCTATCGCGAGCGCAGCAGCAAACAGACCAGCTGCTGACCCCGGCAAATGTCGGATCCTTCATATTGGGTATCCGTCTTCCAAGCTTCCTTTTGTTCCTTCTCCCTTCCATGCAAAGTACACGCATACTGTACCCTCCTGAGGTAAGGTACTAGTAGGTAAGGTAAAGCCGTGTTGGCTGTGACGCGCTCGGCAGGCTGACGGGTACGATGAAGAGTCGTCGGCTTCCAGCTTCAGGCAACGGCATGGGCCATGGCTCCCAGGTGGTTTTGCTTGTCGTCCGGCGCTGGGATCATGATGGGACAGCATCCATTCTTCACACTTTCCCGAGTGTCATTTTCCTCTCATTGCAGCACAACGCAACCCAGTGTATGTAATAACCCTCCCCAAACGCGCCGCCCCTGACATGCCATGTCGCAAAATTTTTCTCCGCCTGGCTGGTCCTTTGAGACAAAAGAAATGGCCCGGGTTGGTTGGAGCAGGCCAGATCTGGCTTGTCCAGATCGACCGACCCGTTTGGCCGTAATCTAAAATTGCCGTGAGACGCTATTGTGTCCCTGTTGCGCAGCAGTGGTTGGTCCGGCACACGCCAGCGATCCCCAGCTTGTTTGACTCGCGGAGCCTGGTATGTTTCTGCAATTCGACCCGCCCGTGACGATCCGTTATGCACGATGGACCGTCATGGCCTGTTTTGCGCTTTTGCCGTCGCTTGTGATGGGTATCGTGAAGACAGCGGACATGGAGGAGGGATATGAGCAAGAGGAGCCTGATGAGCTATCTGTTCTATTGCAAAGTACCTAGTAGGTAAGACACGATTTGTTGTCGTGTATCAGCCTTATGTCGGCCGGCGTCAAGATTGTCGAATCGGGGGGATACGTGGGTGCCCTGTACCAGCTGTGGAATTACAAAGGTGGCTCCTGTACTTTGATGCTGCCTTCAAAATCCATAGCCGTCTCCGGGCTGTTACATGAGGCATCCAGCTGTCACTTCATCCTTTTGGCGGGGGGGTACATAGGAAACATGAGACCGATTCAACATCTACCAGGTTGGTAGGTGAACGAGCGGGCTTTGTGTTGGGCGTCGATGCTGTCTACACCACCTTTGCCTGCCACTGATGAGTGGCAGCCAAGAAATCATAATCTTCCTTAGGACATATCTATCGTCATAGTAGGGGACTCTAGTATTAGCCGTGGCTTAACACCACATGGCACCGGAGACATCTAGAGAGAGCCAAGAAGCAAGGAAGAGCTACATCTTTTGAGATGTTATCATGATTTATCGCTCAGTTGTAGGGTAGGTACTTCTAGTAGGTGGTAAGCACAGGCCTGAGTGGACGCCAAGTGCATGTCCTATCGACACCTGATATCTGAGGCGCTAATCTTAGATGGGCTGGTGCAACGCGACTTCAGCAAGTCTCTGCGTTAAGGTAATCGCGGGCCAGACAAAGACGCGTCGCATCGCATATCAGCAACTTCTTCCCTCTGCTGCATTTGCGCAACCTGCGGCAGAAAAGACACAACAGTCTGCAGCTCCCTGGCCTCTCGGATGTCGCGCATCGGCGCCCGCGCTGCCGACCATGTATATCAAGCAAATCATCATCCAAGGCTTCAAAAGGTGCTGCAGCGCAACCCCGCCATTGTTGTGTGAGAGACACCCGAGCTTGTGTGCTAACTGGCCGCCAACAGCTACAAGGACCAGACGGTCATCGAGCCCTTCTCCCCCAAGACCAACGTCATCGTTGGCCGCAATGGATCCGGAAAGAGTAACTTCTTCGCGGCGATGCGCTTCGTCCTCAGCGACGCATACACGCAGATGAGTCGTGAAGAGCGCCAGGGCCTTCTCCACGAGGGCTCGGGCTCGGCCGTCATGTCGGCCTATGTCGAGATCATCTTTGACAACAGCGACGACCGATTCCCGACCGGAGGCAAGGAAGTCGTGCTGCGACGCACAATCGGCCTGAAGAAGGACGAATACTCCGTCGACCGCAAGGTCGTGACCAAGACAGACGTCACAAACCTGCTGGAGGCGGCAGGCTTCTCGCGTTCTAACCCCTACTACATCGTCCCTCAGGGCCGCGTCACCGCCTTGACAAACATGAAGGAGTCTGAGCGGCTAAACTTGCTCAAGGAAGTTGCGGGTACGCAAGTTTACGAAGCCCGCCGCGCCGAATCTCTCAAAATCATGACGGAGACGAACAACAAGCGAGAAAAGATTGACGAACTTCTCGAGTATATCAAGGAGAGACTGGCGGAGCTCGAAGAGGAAAAGGAAGAGCTGCGCGGCTTTCAGGAGAAGGACCGAGAGAGGAGATGCCTGGAATACGCATACCACCACCGAGAGCAGACCACGGTCCAGGCGGCCCTCGAGGAGATCGACAATGCTAGGCAAGACGGCCTGGAAAGCACAGATTCGAGCCGCGCGCAGTTCCTAGCGGGCGAAAAGGCGATTTCCAAGATCGACGCCGAAATCCACAAGCTGCAGAGGGAGCTGGAGCTTCTGCAAATTGACCGACGCCAGCAGGAAGAGGATAGGCGTGACAATGCGAAGTTGCTGGCCAAGGTGGAGCTCAAGGTGAAGAACCTGAGGGAAGGACAGTCTGCACTAGAACAGGCCCGGGTGCAACATGACTCCGAACTCGCCTCCGTGCAGAAAGAGATCAAGGCCAAGGAAAAAGAGCTGGCTCAGCTCCTCCCCCAATACAACCAGGCGAAGAAGCAAGAAGACGAAGCCAGAAGGCAGCTAGATGCCGTCGAGGCATCACGATCACGTCTCTTCGCAAAACAGAGCCGCGGCTCCAGGTTCAAGAACAAGGCCGAGCGCGATGCCTGGCTCAGGCAAGAAATTCAGGAACTCAACCTGACCATTAGCACACAGAAAGCAAACAAGCTGGATGCCGATGAGGAGGTTGCCAGAATCCAGAGCGCAATCGAACAGGGCGAGAGAGAAATTGCAGAGCTGCGCTCGCGTCTGGCCAATTGGAGTGGCGACAGGGGCGAGGTCGTGGACCAAGCTGCCCGGGCACGAGCGACACTGGACAAGTTGAATGACGAACGAAAGCTGATCCGCCGAGAGGACGACAAACTGAACTCTGTAATCTCCAACGCCCGGCAAGAGAAGGAGCAGGCTGAGCGCGAATTGGCCCAGGCAGTGGATGGGGCCACTGCTCGCGGCTTGGCTACCATTCGCCGGCTGAAGCAGGAACAGGATATCCCCGGTGCCTACGGAACGCTGGCAGACCTGCTGGATGTCAGCGACGCATATCGACTGCCCGTCGAGCAGATTGCCGGCGCCAGCTTGTTCCACTATGTCGTGGACAATGCCGACACGGCCACCTATCTCGCGGACACCATGTACAAGCAGCACGGTGGCCGAGTCACCTTCATGCCGCTGGCGCAGCTTCGCCCTCGCAAAGTGAACTTTCCAAACTCCAATGATGCAGTCCCCCTCCTGAACAAGATCAAGTACGACCCCAAGTTTGAGAAGGCCTTCCAGCAGGTTTTCGGAAAGGTTGTCGTGTGCCCCAACCTTGCCGTGGCTGCGCAGTATGCCAGGAGTCACGGCGTGGATGGTATCACCGCAGAAGGCGACACAACCAACAAACGAGGTGCCATGACCGGTGGTTACATCGATCCCCGGAAATCACGGCTGGAAGCCGTACAGGCTGCCAACAAGTGGAGGGAAGAGTACGAACGGCTTACGGAACAATCGCACAACATTCGCAGACAGATCGAGCTCAAGGACCAGGAGATTACCGCCGCAATGTCTGAAGTCCAGAAGCTTGAGCAGAGGCTCCGACAGGCTGAAGACGGCTTCGAGCCGCTCAAGCACGAGCTCCGAAGCAGGTCTGCCCACATTGAGAACGAGAGGAACCGTCTCGAGGCGGCCATCAGGAGGCGAGATGCAGTCGAAAAGAACATGAATGGATTCTTGGAGGAAGTTGCAGCTCACGAGGCCGAGTTGGGCACGGAATTCAAGAAGACACTGACGGCTGCCGAGGAACGCGAGCTTGAAGGGTCGAGCCGCGCAGTCCAGGAATTGCAGAAGCAGTGGAATGAGCTTAGCAACACCCGCAGGGGCCTGGAAAGACAGAAGCAGCTGCTGGAGATTGACCTGCGGCAGAATCTTCAGATGAAGCTGGACCAGCTCAACAGCCAAGCATTTGAAAACTCGGCGGTTGGCGGTGCGTCTGGTGGCCTTAAGGAGGCCGAGCGAGAGTTGAAGAAGGCGCAGAAGGCCCTGAAGGCTGTCGAGGCCGACCTGAGCCAGACCGAGGCCCAGATCGACGAGCTCAATTCTCGCCTGGAGCAGCTCGAGTCTGAAAAACTCCACCTTGAGCAGAACCAGCTGGAAATCTCCCACCGAATCGAGAAACAGCAGAAGAGGATGGAGAAGACGCTGCAGCGCAAGGCTCTGCTGACCGCCCAGGCCGCGGAATGCGCAAAGAACATTCGGGAGCTGGGAGTCTTGCCCGAGGAGGCTTTTGACAAATACGAGAATATGCAGGCCAATACGGTATGTCGTTGCATCACCCTAAGTTTTAGCTCTCCGGAGATTGATGGAAGCCAACTAACCGTTCTCCAGATTGCCTCAAAACTCAAAAAGGTCAACGAAGCACTGAAAAAGTACAAGCACGTCAACAAAAAGGCCTTTGAGCAGTACAACAACTTCACGACGCAGCAAGAGCAGTTGATGAAGCGCCGGAAAGAGCTGGACGACTCTCAGGGATCCATCGAAGAGCTCGTGGAGCACCTCGACCGGCGCAAGGACGAGGCCATTGAGCGTACCTTCAAGCAGGTGTCCAAGGAGTTTACCACCATTTTCAGCAAGCTTGTGCCGGCCGGCCACGGCCGTCTGGTTATCCAGAGGAAGACGGATCGTCGTCAGGAACCCGAAGAATCAGACGAAGAGGCCCGAGGCAGTGTTGAGAACTACATTGGAGTTGGCATCAGCGTCTCCTTCAACTCGAAGCATCTCGATGAGCAGCAAAAGATTCAGCAGCTCAGTGGTGGTCAAAAGAGTGAGTCTACAGTGCAGGCTGATGCCTTGAGTCGTGACTTGTTGATTGCTAACTGCGTGCGTAATCTGCTAGGTCTATGCGCTCTCTGTCTCATCTTTGCGCTGCAGCAAACCGAAAGCAGCCCCATGGTCATCTTTGACGAAGTCGACGCCAACCTGGATGCGCAGTACCGAACCGCCGTCGCCTCGCTTCTCGAGTCCATCTCCAACGAGGCCGGCACGCAGTTTATCTGCACCACGTTCCGACCCGAGATTGTTCACATTGCAGACAAGTGCTATGGCGTGACGTTCCGTAACAAGACGAGTTCCATCAACTGCGTCAGCACGGAGGATGCTCTCAACTTTGTCGAGGGCCAGGCCAAGCCAAACTAAAGAGGCTCATTGTGCTGCTTGTATATTATCAACAAGCAGTTATCACAGCCTTGGCTGAGATTGAACATAGGACCACCATTGAGTGGTGAATGACGACTCTGGAAGAAATTCGGAAAGCGGACAGCGGAGTAAAGGGCGTTGGGAACAAGCGGTCACCCGTGTGCTTTTTTGTTTTTTGAAAGGATGGTTAATAACTATTGCTGTCACTTTTGTACGACTCTTGTATGCAGGGAATGATGCTGGCTAAATTGGGAGACGAGTTTTTCTGATGAAGAAATGAGAGTTGATTGCGATATGGTAGCTCTCTTTGACGCCAGACTTTGTATAGAGCTTGATGCAAAGGAGGTTTATTCAAATCACAGAGTCGTCTGGTTGTCATTGCCTGTCCATCTCGAAATGGATTCCGTTCTTGGGTTTTGTGTACATGATCTAACATCAAGTGTAGACGACGTATAATGAAGGGGAGTGCTCAACTCTGATGAGAAGATGAAAAAAATACTTAGGCATCCTCTGGTCTCACTTTCAATTTCATGTACTTCGCATGCGTGTCAAGATCAGAAGCCCACAACTACCTTTGAGAAACGAGGGTCTGAGGCCCTCAGACACATTCATCAGCGGCCGCAAAGCCCTTGTATAATAATGTAGATTATACAAATTCCTAATGTTACAAGCCCCATCCATTTCATCATCCTTTTTAAAATGTATATGTATATCATCACACACACCCAACCGCCCCATTCTGTTCTTTCTTTACCGGTCAGCCATCATGTTCCTCACCCCCTTAAAGTACTCGGGCGCAAGCTCCTTCTCGAGCTCCTCCCGCGTCAGCCACTTAAAGTCCGTGTACCCAAACGGATTGCCCTTGAGGTCCGCCTGGCCGGCCATGATGCGGCCCTTGAGGAAGAAGGTCTTGCGGCCCCTCTTCTGGACCGTCCCGTCGGCGCCAAAGACGGGCTCCTGGACGAGGTGGGCGACGGGGACGCGGCCGACGAGCCATGTGTTCATGTTGACGCCCGCGGCTTGGTCGAGCACTCTCTTTGCAGCCTAATTCCTCCCAAGTCAGCTAACAACACTTTTCTCTTTTCTCCGTCTCATGTGTCTCCCTCAGATATATACACCCCGAAGAAGAAGAAGAAAAGAAAAAAAAAAAAGAAAAAAAGGGAAACGATTTCCAAAACGTACCTCGTGGAGATTCTCATCCTGCAAGACATCCGCCGGGAACCCCCACCCATCAGCCCCCTTGACGACAAGATAGAGCGTCCTCTCCATCTGCCTATCCAGCCTCCTGACATCCCCCTTGCGGTCCGCCTCCGAGACCCTCTCGGCAGGCCTCTCGACGGGCACCACGTCCTCGGGCGCAATGACCTCGGCGTCGTCGCTGACCCTGGGCGCGGCGTCCTTGAGCAGGCTCTCGAGCACCGTCTCGCGCGCGCTCAGCGGGTCGCCCACGCGCAGCTCGTCGTCCCACGCGCGCGAGCTCTTGCCGTGGTACGTGCCCAGCTCCTTGGCCACGGTGCCGCCGCGCTCCTGCACCTTGATGCTCCAGTCGAGCTGCGCCGCCGTGTCGGGCTTGAAGTATATGCTCGTGATGAAGGGCGTGTTGAGGCGCTCCTCCAGCCGCTTCTGGTAGAAGAAGAAGGCGTTCTCAAACGGGTGCAGCGTCCGCGTCAGGAGCGGCGGCCGCGTCAGGATGAGCCCGGAGCGGATGTCGTACGGGTACGGCGTCTTGGGGGAGGTTTCTGCCGTCGGCGGAGGAGTGCTGGCGGCAACGGCAGAGGCTTCTGTTGTCGTTGTTGTTGTTGTGGCTGCAGAGTAGAAGCGGGAGGATATCGCTGCTCGAGGGCTGTATGTGGTTGCGCATCTGGAGCACAGCGTGGAGGCTGTTTGATATATGCGGGCACCTGGTCAGTCTCAAATGTTGCTCATGAAGTTGCATGCCTTGCCGATCAATTGGCGGCCGGAGAGGCTCTGTAGAGGAGAAGAACTCACATGATAGGATGCCGCGAACGGCTCTGCTGCCTCTACTTGAGGCTGCCATCATGGCGGATTCTGCGCTGGGGCTGCTCTTGTACAACAGAAAAGCCAAACCACCAGAAACTCGTTTTGTCTGTGATGTCTTGCGCCTCGAACTTTTTTGGTGGTCTGGTTCTTTCCCATCCAGCGGTACGTACCTCAACCCCACCAACGTACCTCGAAACCAACTTACATAACACAGTGCAAACTGCTGTGGGTTACATAACCAAGCAACTGCTGAATCCAGCTGCATCTTCTGTCTGTGCTTCTCTGCATGCCTTAGGTAAGCGTAGGTAGTTAAAAGCTCTGCCATGGGTCTTGGGCTTGATTCAATCTGCTGCCTCAGGCCACAATAACAAAAAAGTTTCACACACCTTTATCTCTGCTCCCTCCCTTCTTTTTCTTCCTCTTCTTTTCTTTTCCTTTTCTCTCCAAGGCACCATTTCCTTATCGTCGAGACCTGCTGTTTCCACCTCCACAGCGTCCTGATCATTTTTCGTGTGCCGAGAGAGAGTATTGCAGTCTTTTTCGCTAGCGGCACCTTCTTCAATCTTTCCCACTGGGTTCTGTTAGATAGATACTGCTTACATCCCGTCGTCCCAGTTGCGATTCCTGCTGATTTCTGAGTTCCTCGTCGGGTGGTCCCAACATACCCCCCTTTATGTGTGCCTTGCCTGCCCCCGTTTTAACTGCGATTTCTTGGTGTCTTCCAAACACTGCTTTGTACCAATGACCCGTGATCTTCTCTTGTATATTCCTTCTTTCGGCATTTGTCTCTTGTCGCCTTAAGTCCGTGATCGCGAAGCGAATTCGAAATACAAGATGTTCTCCCTTTACGATTCTACCAAAACACGATGACTCCAACCGGTCGAGCGCAGAGGAAACGTCCCTGACATCCTGAGACGTTTTACCGGCTCATCGATTCCTCTTTTTTACAATCGCCGGTAAAGCTTCTCTTGAGTCATCAGACCTGTTGGCTAAGATTTCTTCAATCAGGTGCACAGCCTCTTGCCGCACACGCTGCATCGAATCGAAGATATTCCAACTGTTTTTTCAGCTGCCTAGTTCTAAAGCCCTAGAATTCGCCCACAGAAAGGGGAGATATGTATGACCAGTACGATACATATTCAAAGCACGAACCGCAATGCGTTGTAGCATGGGGCGACAGGCGCCATCAGTATGACAAGAACTGCAAAACAAAATGCCCGACTCCTATTACACCTCGGTGTCCCTAACTAAAAATGCACATCGCCGTCAATGAGGCTGGGGGTATCAAACCATGATATGGACCGTCGACAAAAGCCTTGAAACGCCAAACCAAATGCTTCTTGCTGTGCACCCGTGATCAGGCTTGGAGTTCGGAGATTGCTCGGGCCACCTCCTGGGTGACCCTCTTCTCCCAGGTTTGTCGTCGAGATTCGTCATCGAGTGAGGACGCGTCCTTCACCTCGTCGTAAAGCTTTCGTGAGATGTCACGGTTGATTGTCGCATATTGTTCTACCGTCAACTTCTGGGCCCGCCAGTGCGGTCTCAGAGCGTTGCGGACAATGTCATTGACGCTCTTCTTCTCCTCCGTCGTCATTGTGTGTCTCATCGAGTTCTCATCGCCGCCGCGCGTCGGGCTGGACTCTGGCGACATCTCGTGGGCGCGCCGAGGCCGAGGCTGCCGAAGTTCAAGGGGGCGACTCTCGAGTCTGTTCTCGGGTCGGCCGCCGTTTCGAGGCTCCGGCTTGACGAGAGGAGGCGCTTCGGAGTCGCTGTGGTCGCTGCTGCTAAAGCGGGTGGGTGAGTAATTAGCAGGCGGGTAAACTGGTTCGATGTGCGTGCTGAGAGACAGGGTTGGAGATGATGGACGTCCATTGAGATTGGGCAACGGAGGTGGTGTTATTGAAAGAGCCCGGGGACTGCTGAATGCCGAGGGTGATGGGGAGAGAGCTGGCGATGATGCCTCGTGAAAGGGGCGCCAACCAGAGGCCACACCGGATGCCTCATCTTCGGAGTGAATGTTGGGCTCCAGCTCTTTGAGCAGGGAAGACACAACTAGGGTCGGCTCACTATCATCTCGGCTGGCGCTGCTGACATTGTTGCTTCTCGAAGAGGTCCCGTTGGGCAGTCTTGCCGAGGACGGACCGGCGGCTGTTGGGAGTGCAGTCGCTGCGGAGCCTTCGCCGTGCGTTGGCAGTCGTCGGGTTCGAGGACGCTTGAGCTTTCTCTCGGGTTCTTGGGCGGGCTGCTCAGTAGGCGAGGCCGTCACAGACCGAGCCTTTCTCTTGCGAGTGCGGGGACTGGAAGCCTCGGCCTCCCGAGCTCGGTCCAATGCTCCCCAGGCGCGCCTCTCGTCCCGCGTCTCCTCGACGGGTGGTGGCGGGGGGTGTAGGCGTTCGCTAATCTGCGGCGGTATGTTGCTTGCGAAGGAGTCTTGCACGCCAAGACGCTGTGCAATGCTGATTCGCTGTTGCCACCGCTGCAGCTCCCGTCGATCCAGCTGCTGGAACCTGCGGAAACGCTCGAGGTCTTCGTCTTCGTCGTCGTGATTATCGAGATCGAGCTCGCTCATCTCGTAGAAGCGACCGGAGAACTGCCCCCAGGCGCCCTGCCACTCGATGTTGCGCGCTTGGCGGCGTGCCCGCCTGAGGCGAGCTCGAGTGCGGACGTGGTAACCCCGGTGAGCTCGAGTGGCTAAACGACGAGCGGCTGAAGGTGTCGGGGCGATCTCTGAGGCCGCTCCCGACTCTGGCTGCTCTTCATTCGGCTGATTCAGATGGGCACATTCCATGCAGAACCAGTCGCCTTCGGGGATGTAGTCGAGGCCGATGCAGTGCGTATGGTAGGCTGCATCGCAGCCGTCGCAAAGCAAGAGGATGTCCTCTCGCTCTGCCGAGTTGCAGATGGGGCATGGGTTGGATTCTTCTTCCTCTTCTTCCGGGTTCTCTCCGAGCCACTGCTGCACATCAAACTCGGCAACCTGCTTTTTGTCCTCGACTTCGTAGGTAGAAACGGCGATGCCTGTAGATAACCCAGCTACGTTAGCAGCTGCATCGTTGTGGTTTGTAGAACCTCCCGCCTTCTGTGCAGGGATAGGTATGTAGATCGGTAAACAGAGGGGTTGCGAGAGCTACGGGTACTCACCGTCTACGCCGTTATAGACTCGGACAGTGTGAAAGGGATTGCGGCAAATGGGGCAGGTATTGGTCTTTTGGGCCCATGATCGGATGCAGGCATCGTGGATGATGTGATCACAGCCATCGAGAGCGGCCACAATGTCGAGATAGCTCGACTCGCCCTCGACGGCCTCAGCAATGGAAGCTGCAGCGGCGTTGACGGCGCCGTCAGTCGCAGCCGAGGGGCGCGGCAGCGGATCCAAACATATGATGCACTGGTCAGGCTCAGACATGGTGCCGGTCGTGTTGATGGCCGCCAGGAACTGATGGAAACATGTAAAAATAAAAAGAAGACGACAAATTCAACGATCCCCGATGGACCAGAAAAAGATTCAAGATGTCTTGAAAAGAAGACGTGGGAGACGACGGGTGTGTGGCGTGTGCCGCAGCGAGAGAAACTGGGTTTTTGGTATGAAGGCTAATATGACGGATGCTGTTAGTGGTTGAGGTGGGCGAGCTGGTTGCACGGGTAAGAAGAGTTGGGGACGAGAGGAAGAAGGATGGCGGCGCGCGCAAGAGAGGGAAGAAGGCGGGTGAGGCGAGGTACGTACAGGAGACAGTAGCCGGAGAATAGCCTGTGAGGGTCGAATAGCAAACGGCCGTGAACCTTGCTGGCTTGTTTTCCCTTCTTTCGTCTCTGCTGCAAAGGCCAATTTTTTTTTTTCCTTTCTGCAGAAGCGCCGTTAGAGTGACGAGACAAGACACCAGAGGATTCGGATGGCAAGAGGGAGAGTTCAGCTAAGAGACAGCCTAGAAAAGGCGGGCTCTGGCAAACTGGAGGCTACCTTTAGCGCAGGCCAGGCCAGGCCTGTTAGGGGTCTGCGGCGGGGCCAGTCGGCGAGTCACAGCGCTCGGGGCGCCACGCCTGTCAATTGAACCGCTGTTGGACGCTGGGAGAAACGGTGGCGGAAGATGGAAGATGCGCACACACGCAGAGAGTAAGATACTGTAGGTAGCCAGAGGTAAAGGCGAAGGTGAAGGGGGGTTTTTCTCTTGACAGCGGGAGAGCGAAGAGTGAGTAAGGTCGGGGGTGGGAAACGTGTGAGTGAGTCGGGACGCGGCAAGCCGGAGAGCGCTATCAACTGCTGGGTGTATTGAGAGGTAGCCTGGAGGTATGTTAGCAGCGTTGGAGAAGTTGGAGAAGAGACTGGGAGAATCGTCAAGGCGAGTAAGGTAGCGATGCGTAAGAGGCCTGGCTACCACTTGAAGGGGCAGGGAGAAGTGAGTTCTGCAGGAGTGTCTCGGATGGGCTTTGATCACGACTGTCCTTCGTTTTTTTTCTGCCGCGTCCTACCGCAGACTTGAAGATTCTACGAGTGAACCTCGAGAGGTACCGGCCGGAACTTGAGCACTAACTGATCTCAGGTACCGTCATACCTTGGCCGTCCGTTGAGAGGGAGTGCTACTACGACGCTACATATGCCTACCAGGTATGCAGTACTAAGAAGAGAGGCTTTTCTCTCTGCCTTGTGGTTGGGACGTCACACCTCGTATCAGATCAGTCATCAATCGTTTGGCGGCGGGAGGATCCAGCGGGATTGGTCCAAGTAGGTAAACTACGGTACGTTAGGAGTCTGAAATGCTCAGTATTTCATCAAAAGAAGACGCTGGACTTCCATTCTTGGGATGCAATGCTAGACTTTGGCGTTTGTAAAGGACAAGAGCTGGGACAAAAGTTCCCAGGCCGTTGTTTGGCGGCCACGGCGTTGCAAGTACACTTTTTAGGCGTGACGTCTCCTACATTCAATGGCAGCCTGCACCGGAAACGAGAACCCCAAGGAAAATGCCCGCTGGGCCTCTAGGGAAAGAGGGATAAAGACCATGCGCGATATGGGGTACTCTGGAGGTACTCTCGATGAGGAGACACGGTACCTACTAGGTACTAAAGACGACGTACGGCTGGCTCCAGTTCCAGCTCCCCAAATGCCCGTCATTGCACATTCCTGCCTCTCCTTGCAGCTGTAGCCGTCCTTTCTGGGGGAATAGGTAGGCAATACTCGTGATATCTTGAGAATATTGGCATTGAGCTATCAGAGATGATGCGAACTAGTGGTGCTTTATTATACTCAGCACCTGCACAGGGATTGCTTACCTCACCCTGTTCCCTACCGTGTGAAAATGCTTGATATGGTGTTGAGGCAGAATATGGCAGAATGAAGATACCAAGAGAGGTACCTTCGAAGTATTATACCATGGACATGGTGCCTGCCAAAATGGGCTCGTCAGTCTCACGTGCTGCGGCCAGCGTTCTCGTGAGTGACGGATCATGACGGCGCAATTGGTCCAAGAGGGGAGCGGCCACAAGGGTGCTTTTGCAATTGAGGGGGCAACTGTGCTGCTGCTTGCTGCTGCTTAGTAGTACGCCGGATGCCGTAAAGCTGCATGGCGGAATGCATCTTTGACGAAGCGTGATGCCCGGGTGGTAACTTCGTGCTACCTGTACCTGAGTTGTATGTACCTCTTGAGTGCAAGTGGCACAGGTAGGGCGGCGTGTGGAGAGGGCTTTACAAGGTGTTACGCACATGAAAGATTGCATATTCATATGCCGTACCTACGGAGGGCAGAGAGAGAGAGAGGGAGAGAAAAGGTCCCAGCCGTTTTTGGAGCATGGAATGCGTGTGGACAGCTTGCGATTGAAAATCGACTTTAGTCAGGGGAGGCGGCTGGAAGGGCTAAGCGGGGGTTTGAGAGGGGGAATTGACGGGTCGATGGGGATGTCGAGACGGTTTGGCCCTTGTGATGCCTCTCCTTCGGCATTTACGTCTGTCGATTTGATAAGAGGGCCAAGACAGTCACCCGAATTTCTGCTGGTGCCACGAGCGACCCATGTACTGGTATGTGAAAGCCAGAAGACGACATGACCAAAAAAGCTACTACATAATATCACCAAATGTAGAAACCCCCCTGATTAATCGAAGCAACAAGAGAAGACAAGACAGGCATGTATCAGTCGGCAGAATAAGAGAGAAAAAAAGAGGCACTTTACGCGTGCCCCGTCCGCGCATGCAAGGAACCAAGGCTGCATTCGTCACTTGACGGGTCGGACTTGAACTGGCCTAGACTGTAATACCTCGCCTCCCTTGTTCTCTCTGCCCAAGGCGTGAGATGACAAGCCTCCTCGGACAGTTTGCACCTCACGATCCTGTGGCCTTTTCACTACGATTACTGATACGTTCGCGACATTAGTAGCAGCAGCAAGGCATCCAAGGCAGGGAATAAGATTCGACCTGAGCAAAGGAAGCATTAGCTGTGGACCTCCCGTCATCATCTGATGCAGCCCGGGTATGAGACACTTGCATTGGACCGACGAGAGCTGTGCCGCCTTTCTTGTCCCAAAACCCCACTCATCCTTTTCGCTGTCGGCTCGTCATTGAGGCCATGAGCTGTGATTTGTGAATGAATACGAGCGAGGACGAGCACTGTGTCAGTAACAATGTCAACATCATCGTACTGTCAGTAGTACCTCCAGTGACCGGCCTTCGAGGCACGGCTCTTGGATCGTTCATCGTGTGAAAACCAGGAGCACTTCTTCTGATTACACGCATGATTACCTCGTCCAGGATGAATTCTCAGGCTTGGAGAGTTCACGTGTGGCGAGCAGGTGACCGGGTACATGCCGTTCGTGTACGGCTCATGCCACAGAAAGCACTGCCGACCAATACTAATCCAAGGTGTTTCCATGGTTGCAATAGGAAGCTCTGCATGAATAGCGCTGCGGAGCGAATGCTCGCGGTCCATGGTACCGCTGCGTGATAGATCGACCCAATCCTCGTCGATCTGCGACAGGATGGCCGTGCAAGTCTGGCCCACGCAAATCTTGTCCGACAAGTTTCCTTCACGAAGCGCTGCAGTCGATGGTGGTACCAGAGTCATTCTCGGTTCGGGTGTCCGGAGATAATGCAGTTTCCCTTTTTTGTTTCATTGCCTATCGACCGGTGTCTATGACCAAAGATCGAGCGTCGACGTTCATTTTTCGTCAACTCGTAGTGTATGCACGCAAACAATGTCCCCCATACACCAGACCGAAAAAGCAAAGCCGAATCCTCCACCGTTTTACCAAGAAAACACCTTTAAACCTCAGCAATCTCCCTCAATCGTCGCAGAGTTGATCGCATGGCAGCGGCAGCGGGTGTGCTGTTGAGAAAAAAAGGTCAGTAAGAGATCGCTTCCCGGGGAGTGGCCACGGGCCTGGCTCGTAAGATGTGTTCGAGTGAGCGCTGTGTGGCTATGGTGTGGGCGACGTACGCAACAGTGTAGGCACCGCCAGCAATGGTTCGGTTGCAGGCACGGCAGTTCCAGATACCGACAGACTTTCTTCGGACGGTGGTCTTTCCGCAGAAGGTGCAGGTGTACTTGGCGTGCTGTGTGACTTCCATCTTCTTCACCTGCTTTCGCAGGGAGGCACCGTAACTATAGCCATCGTATTAGTTGCCAGTCCGTCCTGAGTGTCCCATCCATTCGAAGTCATTCGAGTCCCGAGTGTGTCGCATTGCGAGTTGCCATAGACGCAGCCACCGACGGTTCTTTCTTTCTTTCTTTCTTTCATTCTTTTTCATCGAAAAAACCGTAGGGATGCAATTGAAGACTCGTTCGTCGGGCTCGGGATCGATATATCGGAATGGGGTTCGAGACGGATGTGCTTGTGGTAAGACTCACCGGGTACCATATTTACCGCTGCAGATAGGTTAGCAAATGCTGATTTCTTTATTCTGTTCCATCGAGAGAGTATACGTACGTCACGCCGACCTTCTTGGTGCGCTTGGTCATCTTGACGGATTTGTGGTAGGGATGGGGATGTTTGGTTGCTTGACTTCGGTTGGAGGCTGCTCTCGCGAAAATGTGCTGGGAAGCTGGAGTTGTGATTTTCCTTAGGGCACGCACGTGAGCGATGGACCAAGCGAAGCCCCACCACAATTTTCTTCCAAAGTGCGCTTATCGATAACGAGACAAATTGTGTCACGTGACAGCTGGTAAACGCAAAGTACTCTCGTACCTTTCCACCACTGACCGCGGGCACTCTTGTGTTGCTCGGATTGGGTGGCGGTCGACGGCGGGCGATTGGCCATGAGCGAATGATTTCATCAACCATGCAAGGCAGCGACCAAATGCAGGCGCTGTTGTCGGCTGTATCCTTAATATTTCTGAAATCATAAGTGTCACCGAGCCGCAAATAAATCTGATTATAGCTTGACTACTAGAGTCTTCATACAGTTTGTTGAAGTTGGAAATATTGGGAAACCTTGTGAACACGCTCAATTCTTCAATTACGCCGCTTCCTTTCCCTTCATGTAAACCTCCCTACAGACGATTGTGTGATTCAGCCCACTGGACGTGTCACCTACCTTAGCCGTTGTAGGAGATTTTTACCTCTCAGAGTCCTCAGGTCTGCAACAGGACCTTTGACCTCACAATGCCGTTCAAGCAGCACAATCGCCAGTATGACTTGGTCGTCTTTGGAGCCACTGGTATGTAATCCTCAAGCTGGGCGAGGGTGATGCACGGCGATGCTCATGCACATCGTACCCTAGGTTACACCGGCCGATTGGCAGCCGAGTACATCACCGCCAACTTCCCGGTCAATACGAGGTGGGCAATTGCAGGTCGCTCCGAGTCGAAGCTCCATGCCCTTGCTGAAGACTGCAAGAAGCTGAATCCGGACCGGAATCCGCCAGGTATGTCGGCAGCCATCATCTCCAGCCTGCCTGTTTCACCGTAGCAGGTAGTCCGACGAGAGGACTGACAACACGATACCCAGCAATTGAAACGGCGGGCGTGGACAGCCATCAACAACTGAGCGCGTTGGTGAACAAGACATTCGTCTTGATAACAACCGTCGGCCCATATAGCGCTCATGGAGAGCATGCAGTCAAGGCATGCGCCGAAGCCGGCACACACTACTTTGACATTACCGGCGAGAGTCCCTGGACGTACAAGATGATTAAAAAGTACGAAAAGGTCGCCAAAAGGAGCGGCGCTATTCTTATTCCCCAGATCGGCCTGGAGTCTGCTCCGGCAGATCTCTGCACTTGGGCTTTGGCCACCACGCTTCGAAAGCAGATGGGTGTCAAGACAAAGGATGTCACCATCTCGATTCACAACATACGGTTCGTTGAATGCCTATTCTTTCCCCGCCTCTTTTCAGGCGTGCATACTGAAAGCTTTGGATATAGAGCAGCTCCATCTGGAGGCACCGTTTCTACTCTCCTCACACTTTTCGACTACTTCACCGTGAGCGAGCTGGCTGAGTCTGGAAAGCCCTTTGCACACTCACCTGTGCCTCACCCGAACGAGCCAAAAAGACATCGCCGCTCTATCTGGCAAAAGGTCTTTGGCGTTTACCATGTACCTAATCTGGGGACCGTTACCACTGCCTTTACCAATCCGGCCGACCAGGCAGTAGTAGAACGCTCATGGGGGCTCTTGTCGCAAATTCCAAGTCGCAAGGACGAATTCTACGGGCCAAACTTTCACTGGGCAGAATGCCACAGGGCTCGCAATTGGTTGCATGGAGTAATTATCCATTTAGCAATCGTCATTGGTGTGTTGCTGGTTGCTACAGGGCCGCCAGTCAGGGCGGTTCTTCGCAGAATCGTTCCAGAACCAGGCACAGGGCCATCGAGGGATGAAATGGAGAAGGAGGAGGTTGAGTGGCGTGGCATAGCGAACCCTGACACGGAGACGCCAACTAATAAGCAGGCCTGTTGTCGAGCTTGGTACAACGGTAGCATGTATGCTTGTAAGTGGCACATATCGATCCTTCTGTTGGGTATTGGATGTTCCTGACTATGTCTACAGTAACGGCCATGCTTTGCTGCGAGGGTGCCCGAACGGTGTTGGAAGATGACCTCGGGCTAGAAGGAGGCTTCTATACGCCGTGCTGCCTTGGGCAAGGCCTGATTGATCGGGCTCGTGATGGCGGGTTCAAGATGGAGACGCGAATCCAGGACAAATGAGCATCAGCTGTTGTATGTATGTACAAAGAATACCCGAGAGAAAGATGGCTTCCATGAGTTCATGTAAGCCAATATTCTATGAGTGTCTCTGAAGCATCTTAGAATCTGATGGTGCGTGTTTGGAGAGTTGTAATCCAGCTGATGATACGACGCTCGAGGCGATTCATCAGGAAGTACCGAGTTTGCTCGGATGAGCACCGCATGAAGCATGACACTAGAACGATTCACAACCAGCTAATCCACATATAATGCTGCGCTGAAGGCTGAGATGAATGTTGTTTCTTGTATCTTCCGATTCAGAGAAGATTACTAGGCATTAGGTACTTGGCTTTCCACGTGTTTTGCTGCAGTCCCGCATGTACATACCCGTTTGCTCGTGTTTCCGTCCCGGATCCTGCACGAAGCTCTAGTGGGGCTCTATTTAGTTTCATAGCAAACGTGCTTCAGTCTCTGCCAATCAGCGTGCTGTAGAAGCCTTCAAATCTGCCAGATTGCTGCTGATTACATAACCTGCACCGTCCAGGCCCCGTTCCCAGGTGGGCCTAGACCGCTTTTCGCCTGGACCGGCTTGGGAAAATTGGACTGAACTCCGTCATCGAACAGCAATTGCTGGGCAATCTGCAAGTCTCGCGGATTGCACAAACTTCATCACAGCACCTGTCAGGCTGCCTTGTCCGTTGCTCTCTGGCTCAATCGCTTCCAATGCCGTCTCTCTTTTCGATGCCCAAGCGATAATACCCTTTATTCAACAGCCTGTCAACTTTTTCTTGTATCTATCCGTTACTCGTCTTGTTGATAGAACAGCCGTCTCCGGGCAGGTCTGCTTACAACCGCCTGCGGCCCCTACTTTGGCTCCTCATTCTCCAACTTCAGAGCTCCCAATTCCTAGCCACTGCCATCCAGAATGGACTCCTCCGACTCTGCCAACCAGAGCGCTGGAGAAACGACACCCCTGCTGCCTCAGTCCGACGCCTCTCGACCGAAGCCCGTACGGACCGTGACCTTTAGCGCGAACCCCGTCAGCCGAACCATCGAGCCCGAGCCTCAGCGGTTACCAAGGAGCTATGCCTCCCATAATGCGAACCATCAGGCGAGTGGTAGCGCTCCCGTTGGCCCGCCGATGCTGGCGGCCCTGAACAGCAAGCTTCGCAGGCGCAACAGTCAGGGGTTCGTGCCCGTTGCGTCGGCACAGGGGCTACCCAAGATTGGCCCACAGAGAAGCACCAAGAAGACGGAGAAGCTCAAGCTGCTGCCGAATCCAGATCTCGTAGACGAGGCCGAGGACGAGGAAAGCGGAAGGGATGTCTATGCCCAGTATACCCGGATCAAAGACCCGACGGCGCGACGAGATGCTGCCAGACTTGGAAAAGCAGACCGAGATCGATTGCCGCGCGTCACCGCCTACTGTACCGCAAATCGCTACGAGATGGACGGACTCATGAGGTTTCTCAAGGGTCGAGGCAAGACTCGCGGCGCGAATCCCAAGCTCATCGACGAGTGTATCTATACACCCTACATGTACGGCAAAAGCCATCGACACCATGAGGTGACAGAGCGTAATCACGACGTTACGGAGCATAGCATGGGACGGCGGCACTCAACGGGCAGCGAACCGGTGGACGGCGAGGCCGACCGGGACCGATTCAGGTCCCTGCACCACGATAACCGAGACTCTGGCTACGGGGAGGGCCTCATGATTGACCAAGCTCGAGAGGAGGCTGGCGAACTTCCCAGCGAAGAGCTGTTAGGTCCCTCTATGCCCGAGCACACGTCCATGAAGGATTCTGTACCAGATTTTGATATCGAGATCCACACGCCGGAAGTCTTTCTGTTCGACTATGGCGTGGTGGTGATCTGGGGCATGACGGAAGCGCAAGAGGCCAAGTTCCTGAAAGACATTGCCAAGTTTGAACTGGAGAAGCTGGCGCCTGATGATGTCGAGACGGAGCAGTTCAACTTTTACTACACCAGGGAATACCAGGCGCGGATTTACAACGACTTCATCACGCTGAGAGACAAGAATAACTACATGACCAAGCTGGCCATTTCGCATGCTCTGGCACAGAGCGTCAAGGTAAGATGGGCATTGATGTGAAATCCGCTATGGGCGATGGGTAGGAAGGTATGCAGTCGACTAACGCGGCTTCACAGACATCTCTCTTTGAAGAACTCATCGCTTCCACCATCGACACCTGCAAGGACATCCCGACTCAGATCGCCTTGACGGGCAAAATCGCCCTGAGCCGGAAACAGATCAACATGCAAATCGGAGAGCTCTTCATCTTGAGAATCAACATCCATCTCAACGGCTCCGTGCTGGACACGCCTGAGCTCTTCTGGGTGGAGCCCCAGCTGGAGCCCCTTTATCAGGCGGCCAGGAGTTATCTCGAGATGGATCAACGCGTTGGCTTGGTCACGGAGCGGTTGGATGTTATTGCTGATTTGCTGGCGGTGCTGAAAGACCAGCTGACGCATGGCCACGGCGAAATGCTTGAGTGGATTGGTATGTTGACGCCCCCCCCCCCCTTGGATCATATATTGCTCTCTTTTCCTTTGTTTTGTGTGATGGAGGGATACTAACTGTATTATTTCAGTTATCATCCTGATTGCCATGGAGATTTTGGTGGCTGCAATCAACATTGTGGTCGATTTGTACGCGGGGGAAATCTGAAACGAAAGTAATAGGCAAAGGGCTCGTACGTTTCTTGGGAACAATCGGAGTCACGGACTTGCGTTAAAAGGATAAGTGGAATTTGTTCTTCTGTTTCCTTCTCGTTCTTTTTGCCCATGGGTAATTGGTTTGATTTGTCGAAGCGATTGGGATCACCACGGAGATGAGCGGCGTCAATGGCTGGGAAAGCATCAAAGTTTGATATACATAAAGTGACATTCTTACACTTGGAATCGAAGCGCAACAGAGCAATATCGCATTCTTGAGAATTAGGCATATCCTGATCGCGAGTAAAGAGAATGGAGAATAATGGAGAATGTCTATCCGCCGTTGATTCAATTCAGACGACTGGCTGAGCTACCTTTGTATACACATCCACCCCCAACGTTTCCAGATTACAAATGCCTTCGTACAAAACCTTTTAGTGATGCGAGAAAGAAGAAAAGAAAAGAAAAAAGCAGTTGAAGAATGCCATAGTAAGAGGCCCCAAAAAGCAAAACCTCTTCCGTGTCCTGGTACCAAAAGAAACACATCAAAAAAATGGAAACAAAAGCAAAGCAAAAAAAGTTAACGCCTTTGGCACATGTCTGCCATCTGCCATCTGCCATCTCCCGTCTCAACTTGTAGTCTGTACCCCCCTTTTCTTCTTCTTCTTTTTTTTTTCTCTAATCCTTTTCATCATCGGCATCCTTGTCCATCTGAGTCTCCTGGTCCTCGGTGTCATAGTTGCTCATCTCGACGTCGTCATCATGGGCATCTGCCTTTTCAGCTTCGGGCTCAGGGTCTGCGTCTGCCTCGGCTTCAGGGTCAGCTTCAGGGTCAGCTTCGGGATCGGCCTCGGGGTCCGCCTCAGCCTTGGGGCTGTTCTTCTTGGAGCTGTCATTGTTTTCGGCATCTGCAGCGGCCTTGTCCTCTTCCTCCTGTGCCGCCTTGTTCAGCTGATCGGCCTTGGCCTGCCACTCTTCCCTCTCGGCTTCCGGTAATTCCTCCCAGTCGCGCTTGAGCTCCTCGTCAATGTTGACATCGGCCTCGTCCTTGTCGTCCCTCTCCTTGGCCTCGAGCACAGGCCGGGCCTCCTCGCAGTACAGTTCAAACGGAGTCTTGCTTGGCTGCGGAGACTTGGCCATGCCGTTGGGGCGCGACCGCTTGGCCTGGCTGTTGGACTCGGAGGCCGGGGACGTGGGTTCCTTGGCGGAGCCAGCCTTGACGTCGGCGTCGGCGTCCGCGTCGGCTGGGGCGTTGGATTTCCGGTGGCCCTTCTTGATGCGCAGCGGCTTATCCTTGGGCTTTCGGGGGTTAGCATTCGGATCATTGGGGATATCGAAGGAGGTTGCCTATTGTTGTTTCACTCAAATATCAACACTGAAAAAAGTTGGGGGGGAGAGAGAGGGGGGCGAAAGGGGAGCAGCAGCAACGCGCGCGATGGTTAAAAAGAAAGAGAAGCAGAAGAAAAATCGCAACTGGCCAGGGCGGATGGCGCAGCGTAGATACTAGAAAAGAAGAAGCAGAAAAAGACTGAAATAAAGTCGCTAGGAGGCATACCGTGGGAGGCGGGCTGGGGCTGCCCTCGGAGTCTTCGACGTTTGTGCTGGTGCGCTTGGCGAGCTGCTCAAGCAGGAAGGCTCGTTCTATCCTCAGCTTCTCGACCTGGCGCTTTATGCGCGCGAGACGGAGCCGGGCGGCGTCGTTGGCCTCTTCGACCTCGGTGGTGCGGTTCTTGAGCTGGACGCATTTCCGGCGATAGGCTTCCTCAACGGAGGGCGGCAGCGTCGACGGCACGCTGGCTGGCTCGGTGTTAGCCTCGGAGACCAATTTCCTCTTGGAAGGCATGGCTGGCGCGGTTCGTCGAGGATGAAAGGAGAGCGAGGAGGATTGGGAGTCGAGAGTCGAGAGCCGCGAGATCGATTCGCCGTGAAAGCGTGAAGGAAGACTTGAAAAGTTGCGACTGGGTAGGTAGAGCGAGGCGTGGGTGTTGCGAATGGCGATGGCGCCTCTTTTATTTGTCGAGCCGCGACGGTCTCGCAATCGCAGGTTGACGCGGTGCGGCAACGGGCGGAACGGCGTGATGCGGGCGAGATGGTCGAGGGAGGGATTGGACGTTGTTGAAGGGAGGACGAGGAAGGCAGAAAAGAAGCTGGAGGCTTTAGGACTCACAAGGCTGGGGCGCCATTGATGATAAAAGTCGAGGTACGTAGTCTTGCGCTTCAGCGGGAGGTGGGCAATTCCAACAGTCCCAAGCCAATGCGCAGATGTACAAGTACCTACGGACTTGGTCAAGGCAGGCAGCGATGGAATGTAGGCAGTACAAGAGAGGCTCGAGCGAGCACAGCGCCAAACAAGCCAAAGCGGACCTGCGCGAGGAGGAAACGAGACTGTGGACGCAGAAAACGCTCCACAAGGCGCGGGTTAACGCGTGCGATAGCGATACGGGAGGAGTTGCAAAGCTTGTAAGTGAAGGGGAGACAAAAAAAGAGACAGAACCAACAAGCTGGAGACGGAAAAAGAAAGAGGGAATAATGAATTGCAATGAGATGAGCAAGAAATGAAAGGGACCAGAGAGGACAGAAGCACAGCTATAGTTTCATCTAATTGAGTCTTTCTATGGTGTGGGGGAGATGCAGAGGAGAAGAAAGAGGTGGAAGAGGATGAGCCTTGTTGGAACCTGGAGGGCATCCGGTTTATGTTCAATCAGTTGCTGCAGCTGCTGCGAGGCTGCGCTTCAGCGGGCGGTTCAGCTGTGAGCGGCCACTAAGAAGAGCCCGGCTGCTGCAGCTGGGCAGGGCTATGTAGGCGCCGAGCAGTTGCTGGGATCAGGCCGTTACTCAGCAGCCGTCCAATGAATGGGAGTTGGGGTCCAGTTCTGAGCCGGCCATGCATCGTCGTGGCTTTGGAAGAGCTGCAGACTGCTAAGAGGAGGCTCTGATATATTCAAGTGTCGAAAAAGTCATTAGGATCTGGAGATGGATGCAGGAAACGACATCAACAGCAGTCTCCTGAACACAGGTCGCTGAAGAATTGCCTACTTACCCAGGCATTGTCCGTGTCCAAGGTACCACTACTAGCAGCGACTACTATACCTAAGATGCCTCAGTACAGTACTTGCAGCTACTCTCGTCATATCTCTTCAGGTATACATACAATTTCACCTCAAGGCGCCGTACATAAAGCGAGTAGTACAGTCTTTGTAGAAAGAGTATTTGATGTCATGTCCGATTTGCAACATCTTGGGCGCAAATAAAGCACCCTCATCACCCGTAACTACTAGAGGTACCTTATTAATACCTACAGCAACCCCTATTCTCGGCCTCTTCCATGCACTGCTAGAAGCGGCCTTGGAGGGGCAGCCCTTTCTGCTGGCGGGCGGATTAACACCCTTTCCTCCCCAGACGCCGCCTTGATTGGCCAAGCGCCACAAAAAGTTGCCCCAGGCTGCCAGCAACTCACGACCCCCCAAGATTTTCCCAAGGAGCTCCAAAAGAGACAACTCCCCAAACTCTGCGTGTCTGGGTGAGGATCCGGATATCAGGCAGCTTCGTTTATTGCACTTCATCTACCCTCCCGTGTCTCTCTCTCTCTCTGCCCGCCATGTCTCTCAACATCCCCAACGCGCCCAACGCGGGCCTCTTCAAAAAGGGCTACAACAGGTGAGTTGCTGCTTGCTGCTCCAACCCCGCCATGCCACCCACCTCAGGCAGGACAAGTGATACCACTTTGCAAGTCCTCTCCAGATAGGTATTCAAACAGAGAAGAAGAGCAGCAGCAACTGACCCAACGTCTCACTCAACCCAACAGCTACGACGCAGAAGATGGCGCCGTGCTGCGGAATATCGACGCCTGCCGAGCCATCACCTCCACCGTCCAGACGTCGCTGGGCCCCTACGGCCGCAACAAGGTCGTCATCAACCACCTGCAGAAGATGATCCTCACCTCCGACGCCGCCACCATCCTCCGCGAGCTCGACGTCGTCCACCCCGCCGCCAAGCTGCTCGTCATGGCCTCCCAGCAGCAGGAGGCCGAGATGGGCGACGCCACAAACCTCGTCATTGTCCTGGCCGGCGAGCTGCTGCGCAAGGCCGAGGACCTGCTGCGGATGGGCCTCAAGACGTCCGACATTGTCATTGGCTACGAAAAGGCGCAGAAGATTGCTCTCGAGACCCTCGAGGAGCTCGCCGTCGACAAGGTGGGCGACATTCAGAACCAGGCCGAGCTGAGCAAGGCTCTGCGGACCGTCATCGCCAGCAAGCAGAACGGAAACGAGGAGTTTTTGTCAAAGCTCGTGGCCGAGGCCGTCCTGGCCGTGCTGCCCAAGAACCCCGCCAACTTCAACGTCGACAACATCCGAGTGGTCAAGATCATGGGCGGCAGCTTGGACCAGAGCAGGGTCGTCAAGGGCATGGTCTTCCCCAAGGAGCCCGATGGGTCCATCAAGAAGGCCAGCCGCGCCAAGGTCGGCGTCTTCACGTGCCCCATCGACACGAGCCAGACGGAGACCAAGGGCACCGTGCTGCTACACAACGCAAAGGAGATGATGGACTTCACCAAGGGCGAGGAGGCGCAGCTGGAGAAGGCCATCAAGGAGCTCTACGACTCGGGCCTGCGCGTCGTCGTCTGCGGCGACCGCATCGGCGACCTGGCCTCGCACTACCTCAACCGCTTCGGCATCCTCTACATCCGCATCCTCAGCAAGTTCGAGCTGCGAAGAATCTGCCGCGTCGTCGGCGCCACGCCCCTGGCTCGGCTGGGCGCCCCCATGCCCGACGAGATGGGCAGCATCGACGTTGTCGAGACGCTTGAGATTGGTGGCGACCGCGTCACCGTCTTCAGGCAAGAGGACGAAGTCACGCGAACTGCTACGCTAGTCCTCCGCGGTGCCACGCAGAACCACCTCGACGACATTGAGCGAGCGGTTGATGACGGCGTCAACGTCGTCAAGGCCATCACCAAGGACCCCAGGCTGGTGCCCGGCGCCGGTGCCACGGAGATTTCGCTGAGCGCAAAGATCCAGGCGCAGGGTGAGAAGACGCCCGGCCTGAGCCAGTACGCCATCAAGAAGTACGGCGAGGCCTTTGAGGTCATTCCCCGCACGCTGGCCGAGAGCTGCGGCCTGGATGCCACCGAGGTGATCAGCACGCTGTATGCCGCTCACCACAAGAGCGAGAGCGGCGATGTCGGCGTCGACGTGGAGAATGAGGAGGGCAATGGAGTGCTCAACGCCACCAAGGCGGGCATTCTCGACCTGCTGGCGTCCAAGAGCTGGGCCATCAATCTCGCCACAGAGGCTGCCCGCACGGTCCTGTCAGTCGACCAGATTATCGTGGCGAGACAAGCCGGAGGGCCGAAGCCTCCTGGCCCCAACCCTGTAAGTTGAAGCTGGTGATGAGAATCTGTTTATGGTATTGTTCTTTGCTAACTATTTCTTTCACAGAACTGGGATGAGGACTAAACGGACAATGTTGAATGGGGGTTGAGGGGTGGAGGGAGCATAAAAGCATAGATATCCCGGACCATGTTGAGGCAGGCTATGTAATATGATGACAGGGAAAAAATGATAGAATATTAATCACATATATGTGAGTCTGCTCTGTGGAATGGCAGCAATATGGACCAATCTTTGGAGTACAAATTACCTGATGGCTCCCTGGTCTTGGAACTTGTATAAGGGGTAGGAAAGGCATGTTGTGTGCTCAACCTGTTAATTCCGACTCGAGCTTTCCATCCTGCGGACTTTTGACTAGAGGCATCGCTGAGCCTTGTCGACTTAAGTATCCATACTTGTACACGACTCTACAAGATGCAGCCACAGGCACACGAATCGCAAGTCCGCGCCGTTGCAGCAACACGAGTCGTCTTGAGGTATTCCGTAAAGCCGATATATTACGCGGATATACAACGGCCCAGCAAAATGTCGGAATTACAGCCTCAGAACTACAGATCAAGCAAATCTCATAGACCACCCGCTTAACCGTCCAATCAAGAATCACAGCGCCGGACGCAGCTCTGCATTCCCAGTTCTTTTTTTCTTCCTCTTTTCGATATTTCTCATTTGGTACTGTGTTTGGGACTAGAGAGGGGAGGAGGGGGGACATGCCGCGCGGTAAGGAGGAGGTAGTTGAGCTTGAAGCTTGAAAGACTGGCGAATCAGGGGGGACGACGCCGGGATCCAGTTGCTTGTCTTTTGTTGGCCTGGCATCGAAAGTCTCTTTGTCAGTGTCGTTGAGTGTAGAGGACTGAATTGCCTGGTCGATGTTGAAGAAATCATCTGCCTATCTTCTCATGGTACCCCTTGTTGTTGTTGTTGTTGTTGTTCCATCATTGTCTAACCGAGCAGTTGCTTTCCGGAGCAAAGAGAGGTTTTCTCAAACGGAGTTGCTTCTGGACTGATGGATCTCGGAAATAGGGGCTCTTCGTTGCCAGCCATGAGGCTATCAGGAGAGAAGGTCTTGATGTAATCCGCAACACGACAGTTGTATACACTCTTACAGGCTCATTACATCTATAGATAGACGGAGTAAAAGTCACACGTATATATATATAACAGTCCACCCATCCCTACATCACAACTCTCTTCAACTCAACCTTCATCTCAAACTCAACCCATCAACATCCAAGTCACACAATATCTCCAACCCCTTTTCCCCCCCAAATCACACCCAGTATATATCATACAAAATGCCCCCCAACGTCGCCCTCATCATAACCAGCACCCGCACCCCCCGCGTCGGCCCCTCCATCGCAACCCTCATACACACCATCCTCACAAACCACATATCCTCCACCCCAACCTCAACCTCAAACCCTCCTAAAGCAAAAGCAAAAGCAACCCTCTCCATCGTCGACCTCGCCCCCTTCAACCTCCCCATCTTCAACGAACCCGTCGTCCCCGCCAACGTTCCCGCACGCGGCACCTTCATCCACGAGCACTCCAAGCGCTGGTCCGCCGAAATCGCCTCCCACGACGCCTACATCCTGCTCGTCCCCGAATACAACTACGGCATGGCGGGAAGCACAAAGAACGCAATCGACTACCTCAAGAACGAATGGGCCGGCAAGCCCGCCGCCGTCATCAGCTACGGCATCTCGGGCGGGAAAATTGCCTCCGAGCAGGTCGTTACTTCGCTCTCCGGGGTTGGGCTCAGGGTTGTCGAGACGAGGCCTCAGCTTGCGTTTGTGGGCGGCGTCGGTCCGGATGCCTTCTTGGCTGTCGGGGAGGGCAAGTTGGGCGAGGAGACGAGGAGGCAGTGGGAGGAGAGGCATGCGGAGGAGATTGTGCAGTCTTTTGAGGAGATTCTCGAGGCGTTGGCGAATCCTCCTGCTGAGAAGAAGGAATGAGTGAGCATGCGTCTTCTGAATCGCCCTGGAGAAGGTTGTTACATGTCTTCACTGATCTGAGCTGAATAGCTTTCACGGGCCAACATCTTTGAAAGAGAAGCAAGTCAAGTGTTAGAAGGACAGGAATAGAATCTTTCACATCTTTAGCTTCGTCTCTGGGCCTCCCCCCCCCCCTTTTCCCGCGTCTCTACGACTACCAGATGAGCTACCTCCAGCAGCCCTCTTGAACACACACCTATATGAGTACATCACTCAACAAGACCGTCATGGAAGCAAAGTGCTCGGCAAAATACGCCCATAAGTCTTGTAGTCAGCATCAAAGTACAAAAACTATCTAACGCTCACAACTGAAAACAGGGCCTCCACCCGATCCGCTGTGTTCTCGTGAAGCCATAACATGTGAATGGGAAAATATGTATGTTACACGTAAGGGCATCCTTGCTCAGTTCGCGCAAACTTGCTCTCCGCCAAGTATTCCCTAAGATGATCACCATCTTCCAAAATTCCAACCTGATCCGTCCAATGTACATACAAGACAAGAGGGGATAAAGGAAATATACACAGAGTCTAGGGACGAGTCGCACTCAATAACAGTACAAAAAAACAAGCAATGCGCAGCATATATTTCCTCCTCAAGAATATCATCGAGAGTGAAAAGATGTCAATGAGGTCCATCATTCTGCCCCGCGGGATTCAGATAAGTCGACGCCCCAAAGAAGAAAGGGAAAGGAAAGGAGGTCAAAGACCAAAACGTCAGGAAACAAGCAGAAGAGCGGCTACTCTGGCTATCCACAAGGAATAGAGAGAGTCTGTGTGCGTGTGTGTGTGTGTGTGTGTGTGTGTGTGTGCGTCTTGAGGGGTATACTTTTGCGAGAGAAGCTTGCAGCGTCATAGATTTCTATGCTTGATAGTATCGCCGGCACTCCGGCAAACAAGTTATCTTGTGCAAGAAAAGAGTCGTGAATACGTCCAGACGTTCCGAGAGAATCCGAGTAGCGTTCAAAGAGAAAAAGAAAAGAAAAAGAAAGAAAAAGAAAAGGTCCATGAGGCCGTCGTAGAGCTTGCTAAGAAAACAAGCAAAAAGGCAAAGAGCCCGCCAGCCTCCCCAAACGCCAATGATCATGCTATAAACGAAGTAGACACAATCGTCCTTCGTCCTCGACTAGAGATAGTCGAATCAAGCCTCTTCTGTGATTCCTCCCTCGCCGCCGCCCTCTTCTCGCCACTCTCGGCTCCGCTCTGCAAGGCGCTTGATGCCACTGATCCGGTTCGCCCACAGACTCTCGACGGGGCTCCGGGATGTAAAGGCCCTCTGGGAACTAATGACTCCGATCGCTTGAAGCACCGCCTTGCGGCTGTCGCGGCCAAACACGGCAGGATGGTTGATCCATTCCAGGCTGCTCTCCAGTTCGGCATCAAGAGCAGATACCGTCGTGGCATCGATGCCAGCGCCAAGCGCCAGCCCATCTGTGGAACGCGTTCGACCCAGAGGAGGAGGAGGCCCAAGGGCAGAGCCAGGCATGTTGTTGCCGGAGGATGAGGCTGCCGAGTTGGGCGACGGGCTACGCCTCCGATCGGGCGTTCCGGATGCCGAAGACCCGTCATTGCCCGGGTGCGGTGTAGAGGGCAGCGATTTGCTAGGGGGCACAGGAGGTAGGCCGCCCTTTCCAAGGCCTTTGAGGATGGAGCGGGTTTCGTTCAGCAGCGTATGAGCGCGGTCGTGCTGACCGCGGCTCACAAGAGTCAGCGCACGCGTGAGCATGTCCGACGTCAGCAGCTCCATGCGTCTCTGGACAACGCTTGGGTGCGGCGGAATGGGCGGCGTGTTCTGCCACTTGTTCTTCTGGCCATGGTTTGCTGGGAGCATTGTAATGGCCAGCAGGGATGGCCGGGGCATCTGCGCAGTGGTGCCATCCCGCAAGATGTCACCCCAGGTGAGGTCAGCTTGGATCAGGGGTACCTCCTCGACCGAAAGAGTCCTCTCGGTATCCGTATCCGCCGAGCCACCAAGAGCCTCAAGCCCTGAGACAATGTTGTCCCACGGGTCCGGAGCAAGCGTTTCCTGAGAAGAGGTGTCCGGGAGGATCACGAGCTGCACCAGCACGTCACGCTTATCTCCGAAGCGCAGGTCGCCGAGTGACGCTTCCGCATCCCGTCCTGTGGCTCGCTTGGTGATTTGCAAAGCGCCGCTAATCTTGTGGAACTTGGCAGGCGACCCTTCGGGAAGCTTGAGCTTAAGCTTCACGTTTTGGTGGGACAGAGTCTGCATGCTGCCCAGGCAGCCAGCCAAGCACTCCCGCAGCATCATCCAGTCCTTAACATATGTGTAAGATGCCTTGGTCCTTGTCGAGAGCTCAATCATTGTGTCGGGCTTGTGCGTCATTCCCAGTCCGAATGAGTGAATCGTGATCCTGTGGCAGTCTTGTTAGTACATGACACGTGGAGAAGACGATGCAATTCAAGGCCAACTTACTTTGCAGCTTCTGCCCTAGAGACGACAAAGTCCACGGAATCAGCATCAGACGTCGATGCATCGCTAATGAGCAAAATGGTGGCAATAGGGTTGTTGTGCTTTCGCTGCATCAGCAGGTCCATCGCGACGTTGGCACCTTCAACCACGTCCGCGCGGTGGCTCTTTTGTCCAACTGGCTTGATCGAGCCCAGGACGTTGGACCAACCGGGCCAGGCCTTTGTGGTCATACCAACAATAGGCACACCGCCGCCCCCAGAGCCAAACGTGACGAGGCCCATGCGGTCCCTCTCGCCGAGAGTGCTGACCATGAACTTCAGCGCGTCGCGGACGAGGTTGATCTTGACCCCCTGCATGGACGAGGAAATGGGGACAACAACGACAACGTCAATCGGAACGTGAACAGGGGTCGGAAGGCGAGCCGCCTTGCTGGGCACGTTGGTGTACTCGGTCATCGCAGTCGCGGCGGACTTGTGGCCCCAGGACGAGGCGATGGAGGATACGCGCTGGCGGCCAACGCGGTTCCAGTCGGGGTCCTCGTCGTTTTCAGACATTTCGCCACGGTCCATGTCGGGGCTCCGAACAGAGGGCGCAAAGTCGACCGCATTCAAGTCCAAGAGAGCTTGGTTCCACAGCTTCAGTTGATTCCGGTTGTCGAATCTGAGATGGAACTGGGGCAGTTCGGCCACGGAGAGGTTGAGCGTCAGGATATTCTCATCAATGGCACCCGTCTCCGTCACGTCATTCAGGTGCTTCTTGATCAAGATGGACCCCTTAAGCGTGCAGCGGGTGGCTGGCTTTCGCTGGCCATCATCCCACTGAGCCGGAAGCTTCTTCTCCTTGACACAGATGAGCATCTCTGAAAAGAGATAGCACTCGAGTTCCTGCCAAGACACCTTGTCCTTGCCCACCCGCAGTGTACCGCACAGCCTCAGCTGCCCGAAGCGGCTAAATTCCAGCCCGTGCCAGTTGTCGACGCGGTTGCGTAGATTCTCCGTCATCTCCTCGAGAACCTCGGCGGACTCGTATGGGTGAAAGCGTGGAGCGCTGGATGTCGGCGTCGGAGCAGGCGATATGGCGCGAGGGGCCGCCTCCGTAATGCCCGGGTTGATGGCCAACTGCGACTGCACAGGCGAGCCGATATCCTCGGGGTCTGGCCGCCAGTTGTTGTCGGGAACCTCGACCGTAACGAGGCAGGTGAGAGTCTGTTGCTGGCGAGATCGGCTAATGGTGGGAAACTCGGAACGAATGGTGACGATAGGAGGTGGGATGGGGTTTCTTGTAGCGGCACGGGGGCTGCTGGGCGTTGCCTCCATTGTCTGAATGTCATAGTCGTGGCGCCATTGAGAGCCGCTCTGGGCAGTCTCGGGATAGCCGTTTGAAGAGGCCATGCCAGTGCTGTCGTTGCGAGTATGTCTCGTAGACGCATAGCGCTCCGAGGTAGAGTCCCTGATATCGCGATGGCTCGATCTGCCAACGCTCGACCTGCCAACGCTGGATCTGCCAACGCTTGGGGTGTGCGCCAGCTGCTGCTGCTGCTGCTGTTGTTGCTGTTGCTGTCGCCTCGGTGTGCTATTATCTACGTGGGACGATCCCTGGCCTTCCCAGGTAGGCGCCGGCGTAGCGGTGCCAGCCCTTGACTCGGTGCCAGCAGTGCGCACCATGTTGCTGATTTTGTCTACATCTTCATTAGCGGCATGCTTCTGCGTTTCCGTGCGTCTAGAGGACGAACTGATGTCCAGGACATTGCCGCCGCGGCTGGAGTCGAGATGCAGGGGTGCATCGCACGTTGGGCAGTACTGTGCCTCCATCTCGCGGATGAACTCGTAGAAGCAGGCTTCGTGGGAGACATGAGAGCAGGAGAACTGCAGGATGCGCTCGCCGCGCAGCGTGTGCTCCAATGGCTCCTCGCAGACGGCGCACTCGCTGCCGACGAACGTCCTGTCCCGCCGCATGCGGCCGCGATCCGCACTGCTCGACATGACGTTGTTGTCGATGCCCCCTACCCTTCTAGACGTGGCGGTGCTTGCAGAGCTTCCAGACCGCGCTCGCTGCTGGAGAGAGACGGTGCTGCGCGAGGCTGGAGACTTGAGGGAGGATTGGCCTGAAGGAGTCAAGGTTAGTGAAATTGCCAAAGAGAGGCGTAGAAATAAATCTTCATCGTGGGGAGGGGAGCATTGGTGGCAAAGGGGAGGCAGGGGGTGTTTATGGGAACGAGTCGCGGCGCATGGTATTAGTATGACATCTAGTCTAAAGGGGGGGGGTGGGATGGGATGGGCGTATTATATGGAGGGCGCGGGAGATGAGATATGCCTACCCTCAAGATGGAACGGAGCATCCGTTGCACTGCTTTCAGGCCTGAATCGAGGGCCAGCCGACCGTGTCGACCGTGGGCTGGCAATGAGGCCCAGGTCACCAAGAGTGCTCGAAAAGTCTCCCTTCTTCCGGCGGCTGTCGACGTGCTGGCTCTTGTGTCGTCGACTGAACATAGCACCACGGGCGGTGGGTCACCAACTAGAAATCGATAGTAACGAGTAGGTAGTGACGGATGAGTGAATGAGGTGCGTGGGTGAGCAGTGAGTGGTCGAAGGCTCGGAGCTGAGCGTGGCTCTTTGTTGCGTGTTTCAGCGGGAGCCTCTTTTAATTTCAACGGCGATGTCGCAAGTTGCTGGACAGTTGACTAGCGGCTTTTTGGATGGGCGTAGGGTTGAGGGTAGTCGTTTCAAGGCGGCGCGGCGAGAGTTGCCCAAGGAAAGGGAGTCTGAGGGAGCGACAGGCAAGCAAGCAAACGGCCGGGGACAAAGTGAGCCGAAGCAGAGGGAGAGGGAGGATGAGGGAGAGGGAGAGAAGTGAGAGTCGGCAGAACTGGCGGGGAGGCAGAAGGACTGGACTGGCGGATGCGCGGATGCGTTGGATGCAGGTGCAACAGTCGGGAGAAACCAGAACGGGCTGCAAACAAGCACAGCGCACAAGACAAAGGGAGGGTGACGAAGAGGACGGAAAAGAAGGAATCGGCTGCGTCTTGTACAAGTACTAGGCCGGGCGGTCGTGCATGCAGGATCGGAGGAGGCCTGGAGGAGAAAAACTGAGGTGCTGGTTCGACAATGGCTGCAGGTCGGTGCTAGTGCAGAGTAAGAGCGAAGGCGGGTCAAGTTGTGAGCATGATGCGCCAGACCTGGAACCTCTGGACGACCGCCGATGGCTGCTATCGGGTGCTATCAAGTGCTACCAAGAGCTACCCAGGGGAGCTACTCCAGCACTAGGACTGATCAGGTACCGCCTGCGAAGCTTGGATGCAACGCCGCTCAACGGGCTAAACAGGATTGAACTGGGCGAGCGGGCGGGAAGGGATGGAAAAGAAAGAGAGAGTGGGAAAAAGAAAGCAAACGAAGGAAAAAGGGTAGGGTAACAGAAGAGGCAGAGACACGGAGAGGTGTGTGAGAGGGGAAAGAGAGAAGAAAGAGAGGGGGAAAAGCAAAAAGGAAGAGAAAAGTGAGCGGCAGAGAGAGAGAGGAAAACCGAACAAAGTGAGCAAAAAGAAAGGCCACGCTGAGAGCAGGCGAGATTGACGCGATTGGAGATGAGGCCTGCCAGTGAGAGGTTCCAGCTACCTAGGTAAGGTACTTGCAGGCCGTACCTGGAGGTACCGAGAAAAGGGGGGGCCTGACAATTTCCAAGCTGTCGTTTTCCCTCTCTTAGCTCAGAATCCAAGTCATGCTGGTTCTTCTGCCATCTTCATGCCAACCACGACCCCGGACCGCTGGGCTGGTGAGACCGGTTCCTGGCGTTGCAGAGGACCTGGGTCCGGACCCATACCAAGGTAATCAACCACGATGGCCTCCAATTGCTTGGTACGAGGTGGTACTGCTACCTGGCAAAGTATGGAGTATCCGGAGTGTTAGTAAGTAAGGTAAGGTAAGGTAACTGGAGGCATTACAGCCAGACAGGCATTGCCGCGGGATATTACGGTAACTGCCAGGCAGGTCGTAAGGTACCTAGTAGTAGGGACCTGGGGCACTGGATACCTGTAACCCCTGGGGCAGCTCAATTGACGGTGCTAGAGGCCTGTGGTACATAGCCTGCAGTGACTTCGAGTTGCTGTAAGTTGGCCATCTCAAGCATTGGCTTTGGTCAAGCTTGGTTCCTGTGGATGCTGCCCTCCAACAACCCCAACTCGACTTCAGTTGCATCCATCCTTCAACCAACTCGCCGTTACGACGGGAGTACCATTACTGACACCTTGCCTTGCCTCCCAGTGTCGCATCTGATCCCAGGCCAGCGGTTCTTCCGCAGGGGAAATTAGGTAGTGGCAGCAACAGCTGCCAAGTACATCATGTACCTGTGCCTTGGCTAGCGCTGCTGCAGGTGACGGCTCCAACGATAACATGCAGATAGAGGTACCTGCATGTACGAGCTGCAGAACCATGCGGCTTGCCCTGTCTGTTCTGTCTGCTGGCATCGGATTGGCTGATGAGTTCTTCTTGAGTGGGACCGGGAGCTCATCACAGGCCAACATGCCCAAAAGGTTCCTACATAAGGTACATCTGTGCCTGTGCGAATACCTCGTGCAGAATACCTGGTAGGTAAGGTACATACTAGTACCAGTGCCCTGTGCCTTCAATGTCCTCCAAGTCTCCAAGTCCAAGTTCAAGACGTTGATTGTTAGCATGCTTCACCAACGACAGCCGAGGACAAACATCGTCTTTTGCATCGGACATTAGCGCAGGCACAGGGTTCCTCTCTCTCCCGTTTCGTTTCCTTTCTTTTGTCTTCTCGAGCCCGCATCCTCAATTTTCATTACCTCGTCCCCTCTCGGCAGAAATTGAAGAGCATCGGGTCCTGCAGATCCCGGGCCAAGCCCGGTCCGCGCGAGATTAAACAGACATGCACCTCCGCACGACAGACAGCTCACAGAAGGGGAAGAAACAAAGAATAATCACCTTACTGTATTGCCAGATGTGGCCAGTCAAATCGAGAGCAACAGCCATGACTAGGTAGCAGCACGTTGGTGAGCACAGACTTGCGGCACAGACACGCTCGCCGAGAGATGCTGAATCGAACAGCACCACACTGCCTGCCTATTGGACTTCCCTGCGCTTGGGCACGATGCTACCGAGCCATAGGTAGGCTGGTGATGTAGGTAGGTACATAGGTAGCGCAATGTCCATGGGCAAAGAAAGGTGTGTATGGCCTGATGGCCTGCCTTGCTGTGCATGAACGGAGGCTGCAGAGAAGGGAAAGGAACGACGTCCATCCGATCCCAGACCAGAGACTTGCAGATGGCCCTGCCGCTCGCCTTGGCCGGCTCCTGCTCCGCCGCTGGGACCCTTGCTGGAGAATTCAATGCAAGCCCCTGTCGTCGTGTCCATAACCGGCCAAGGGGCCTGCGTGGTGGTGGAGAGCGCCGTTTGTCTCCCCAATCCTCATGGGCACAAACGCTGTCGGGTGGGCATCTCGTCAGGGCCTGCCCGAACCTGGCGCCAGTGCTTTCTGCTTGCTTTTGGTGTGGCTTTCTCCTCCTTGCATGAAGAAAGTGGCGCTGTGCTGCCGCCAACCAGCTTTCTTGACTCTCAGCCACGGAGGCTCTTTTTGCTTCTAGACGCGAGACGAGAAGGCTAGCCACAGCCAGATCACAGGCACTAAGACTGCAACGTATTCCTGCATCCTACAGTATAGATAGTTTGATGCACATAGTTGTACTACTAGCAGCTTTATTGATTGTTAGTAGTAGCGCCTCGGTATCCTGCAGATAGCAATATCCACGATAGCATCACCTGTGACAACTTTCCACATTGGTTTCGATAGGACGTGCCTCGAAGTACCAGGTGCCGATACGCTTACAAGTATCTACTGGAGGCTCTCTCCCAGTTGGAGTAGCAGCGCAGATGCGACGCTGCCAATGATACAACGCTGATGCATGTCGATGGATGCTATTGGCATCAGCTCATAGGTATGTTGGTACACAAGTGCAGAGAGGTGCCCGGGTGGGTTTTCCTTTCTTCTTCCCATTAGGTAGACAATACTCCCCTTCTCACAGCTGCCTTTGTTCTTCTGGAAATATTGATCAAAGAATTGAATCACGGTGATCGCTCAAGCCCGTCTGCTGTAAGTTTGCTTGGAATTGTCCATTCTTTGGCACTTCCGTCATCAAACGTCACGGGACTTTGGGCTGCCTCGTCCTTCGTACCTGCCCGACTTCTGTGGCTATCCGTCGACGTAACATCGCCATTTTTTCTCCTCTCGTCCGCTCTCCGCTTCCTACGCCTACCTAGAGGTAATAATACTCACCTTTCCATCCTTCGTTTGCCGCGCTCGCGAACATCGAAATCTGGTTGCCTTAATGCCGCCATTGCAGAGGAAAGGCGATCGCAGGCATCACTTGGCGCAAGACTCCGACTCCACGATGAACCCTCCCGAAGCCTTACGGAAGGCCTTCCGGCATAGCTTCAAACCTGCGTCTCAAACCACTCGACTAGCATGACATTAGCCTCGCGTGGCGGCCGGTGGATATGGCCTGCTTCGGTGGCCTATGGGAGGACGGGGGGGGTTGGGTGCTCGACGGGCAATTTGGCTGCGCATGCACTCGCCTTCATAGGATCCCTAGGCCAGTGATGATACTTCGTACCTGCATGGGCAGAGCAGAGCAGGATGCATTACAGGCCACTGACGCGGTCCGCGTTTGCAAAGCAACCAACGGTCTCGGGGCCGACAGCCTAGCCATGACATGGGTTGACACCACCACCCAAGGAGCACTTGTCATGACGACGTTGATCTCCGGCTCCCAAATAAGCAGCTGCCATGTTTTTGCTCCGAAGTGGTAGCAATGGCTTGCCCCATCACCACAGTCTCACCAAGGTAAGCAATCGCCAACTTCTGTCTTCTGTTGATGCGTGTAGGTATGGAACAAGTGCTTTGCAGTGAACAGATACGAGCATGTTGCCATGGGCAGTAATACAAGTATGTGGTACAGGTAAGCAGGAGACATCATCACACTCATCCGCGGGGGCAGACAGGGGTTTCTCTTTTAGCCAGCAGG